TCTGAAGCACACTAGAACTTTCCAAAGCGTTGCTATCCAATGAGTAACTGGTATCTCCTAATTGCTGGCTTGCTTGACTAAATGCGCTCTCTGATGCAATTGTTGAAATTGGCATATTTAGCACGTCTCGTGCCATGGCCGAAAGAACAAGAAATTGATCTGAGTTGGTCTTCCACCAAGCCAGCGGTAGAAATTTCTTTGTGCGGGGCTCTGTTATCTTTTGCAAGTAGAATCGGAGTTCATTAATATTTTTGCTGCTGGATTGTTGATGCTCACTTAGTGTAGACCAAATTAATTAATCTTCAATATCATCATCTTCCTCCAAAGCAACAGATGCAGATGTAGAAACTGAACTTGAAGGAATATTTGTATTTGCATCTACAACAGAAGAAGAATCAATAGTGTTAGCATAATAATTATATAAACTTGCAATATTTATGTAGATTAGAAATACAAGTGTCAATATCAGGGGTTTTGGTTGGTCCAATATCCATATAGACATATAAAATATTGACTAATTGGCAACAAATAGCCATTTTGATAGAAGGGTTTAAAATAACACTAAATAGGTAAATAGGGAAAATAAGATAGAAATATTTCTTAAATTTTCTAGCATAGATTCAACAGCACAACTATATCCTTCTTTCTTCTTGAAATTATAGAGTAAAAGAGAAATTTCAGCTATATGTATTACACCATTTGTATAGGAAGAGTATTGGCCAGTGAAGAACTCAAATGTACAGAAGATGAGAGTAGCAAAAATGAGGATGCTGAGATGGATGCGAGGCCATACCAGGATAGATAAGATTAGAAATGAAGATATTCGGGCCTAGGTAGGAGTGGCTCCGGTGGAGGACAAGGTGCGGGAAGCGAGACTTATATGGTTTAGACATGTGAAAAGGAAGAGCGCAGATACCCTGGTGAGGAGGAGCAAGAGGTTGGCCCTGGTGGGTTTGAGGAGAGGCAGAGGTAGGCCAAAGAAATATTGGGGACAAGTGATCAAGCAAGATATGACGTTGCTTCAGCTTACCGAACATGACCCTTGATAGGAATGTGTGGAGGTCGAGAATTAAAGTAAAAGGCGAATAGGTAGTCGAAAGTGTTTCTTTTACATACCAGTAGTATTAGTATTAGTCTGGTGCGGCACTATTGCTAGATTTATAGTTTTACCTGTTGTCCCCTTTGCTTCATTTTCGTGTTATCTTGTTGTTGTTAATGCTTCTGCTACTGCTTTATATTCTTCTTGCCTTGAGTCTAGGGTCTATTGAAAGAACCTCTCTACCTTCTAGATAGGGGTAAGGTCTGGGTATACACTATCCTCGCCATACCACCTTGTGGGATTATACTGGAATTGTTGTTGTTGTTGTTGTTGTTGCAGCATTGTTGTTGTACTAAACCATTTGCAATAGTAGGATAATAACCTCTAAAAAACTCAAGTGTAACGACATAAAATTTTTGTAAAATTTTTATAACATCTTCAATGACAGACAAAGCACTAGATGTTAGCAAACGGTTAGGATCGGTACAATGAGAATTATCTACTTCAGTTATAGATATTCTATATTTATAACAACATCTTAGGAATAAACAAGCACAATTCCATCTAGTAACTATTTCTTCAGGCATGAGTCTTAGTCTTAGTCTAGATTGTTCACACTTATCCTTAAATGCATTTAATCTAGCACTCTTATTATTTTCTTGAATTGCACCAACAACTCTTCTAACTAAAATAATCTCATTTCTAAATAATTCAAGGTCATTCTTAACAATTAAATTATAAATATGACATGCACACCTAAAATGAAATATTTTAGCAAGTGGTGGGGATAACTGCAGTTTTAATAGTGAAATAGTAGTATTGTTGTTAGAAGCATTATCAAAAGACATACACACATTTTTCTCTTCAAGGTTGTAAAACACAACAACTTCATGGATAGTATTACTTATAAATACAACAGTATGACTTTGATCTTCATCATATTTAAAAGCAATAATACATTTTTGCATACAAAAATTATCATCTATCCAATGGCATGCACAATTAAATAATCATTTTCATTAACATCACAACCAATATCAGAAATAAGAGAAACTCTACAAGGAAGACTAGCGAACAAATAATTAATATATGTCCGATATTGTCCAAAAAACCTAAAGATATCAGTTCTACAAGTACTTCATGGATAGTATTACTTATAAATACAACAGTATGACTTTGATCTTCATCATATTTAAAAGCAATAATACATTTTTGCATACAAAAATTATCATCTATCCAATGGCATGCACAATTAAATAATCATTTTCATTAACATCACAACCAATATCAGAAATAAGAGAAACTCTACAAGGAAGACTAGCGAACAAATAATTAATATATGTCCGATATTGTCCAAAAAACCTAAAGATATCAGTTCTACAAGTACTTCATGGATAGTATTACTTATAAATACAACAGTATGACTTTGATCTTCATCATATTTAAAAGCAATAATACATTTTTGCATACAAATATTATCATCTATCCAATGGCATGTATAATTAAATAATTATTTTCATTAACATCACGACCAATATCAGAAGTAAGAGAAACTCTACAAGGAAGACTAGCGAACAAATAATTGATATATGTCCGATATTGTCCAAAAAGCCTAAAGATATCAGTTCTACAAGTACTTCTAGGAATACCTTTAAATATAAGATTATAAATTCTTTGAATATAAGTAATAATATACGGTGAAGAAGCAAAGCTAAAAGGTAAACAACCTAAAATAATCATTTTAGCTAATTCTTTGCAATATATCATATGTACCAAATAAACCACCAGTACACACGGGTTAAGTTTTTGTTGGCCATTGAGAGGTCTGCCAAAGAGGTAGGTCTTGAAAGAATTGCAGATACATGGGCTAGAGGATGACTCATGCTTTGTTTAAGAACAACAGCAGTTTTGAAAAATGACTCATCTTTGTTTAACTATCCATTACTCATTTATATCACCAGCTACTGCGGGATTAGGGGTGGCAAACGGGTGAGTCGGGTCGGATATAGGCGGGTCAAAATCGATAATGCAAAAAATGGATAAATTATCAGATCCGATCCATATTTGATACGGATAAAAAATGGGTTAACTGACAATAAAATGGATATCCATATTATTCATGTCTGATCACTTTTGGGAGAATTCCTAGTCTCCCAAACTTGAGGAACCCAATTTGAGGCTTTACAAATATAAAAGTTAAACCCATTAGTTAACCATTTTATAAGTGGATAATCTATATTTGACCCGTTTCTAAATGTTCATTATCCAACCCATTTTTTAATGAATAATATGGGTAAATAACTATTTTTCTTTAAACCATTTTACCACAGTGAGATATTACTTTCATGCTTTGTGCCCTCACAACTTATTTTCATATTATCAATTTAATTTGATAGCTTCAAAAACGCATCAGGAGGGTTGAGCATAGTTGCTAGAGGGTTGATGCTGGCTTGCTTAGATCCTTCTGTAGCCAAAAAATGTGCAACTTTATTCTTTTCACAGAATTTGTGTTAGATCCCCAATTTCTTAGTAATGACCCACACTCATTTACAAAGTTAGTGTACAGGGAATAGTTATCGTAGCAAAGCAATTGGAGTACTTCTGTAGCGTCAGTTTCGATTTCTAAGCTATAGAAATTGTTGTCACATGCAATCTGTAGACCAATTTTTAATACGAGCAACTCCATATAAGTAGGAGTGTAACCATATGTGGCCTTGTGATAACCCAGAACCAGTTCCATACATGTTCCTAAAGATTCCTCCAATACCACGTTTCTTGTATTTGTCTTTAAACAGGCCGTCAATGAAACAATTAGTACTAGACTTGTTTCTTCTAATATGTTAATTAATAGCTTGGCTGAGCTTGGGAACCTTAATATCATTAGTTTTCCTAGTGTTAACAGCCCTAATGGCTTAAGTATTCCTGATGATCCCAACGGGACATACTCTTATGTAATGATATTAGTTAATGAATAAATGCTTCGTCTTTATACTCCCAAAAAAGAAGATCTATATATAATTGTTTTATCAAGTGAGATATGTGTGCTAATCTGACAATTAGAGTGATAACTTAACATCACCAGTTAATTGTATTGTCACTGAATATAACTTAAACTCGCGATATTATTTTTAGGTAAACATTGAATTTTGAAGGGGGAAAAAGATAATCTCGAATAAAAAAATCTTGAGAGAATAATTTTCGTGTCGTAGTATTTAGGGAAGTTTCTGAAATTATTTGGGTTGCATTGCTATGAAGAAACAAGATAACGAGCTATTATTGCATCATTTTCACTTTATAATCTTTTTTGGAGCTCCTATGAATAAGAACACATGGCTTCATCAAGATTTACAATTTTCAATAATTGAAGAAAGGAGAAAAGAGGAGTACTCTCAAGTACTTATCCTCAATTTTCACTAAAAAAACAAGATTAAAATAGATTATTTGTCTGAAGAATTTTCTTGGAAGTCCACTAGTATGGTGTGAACCTTATGAACTGCTAGTTACTTTTAAAGCATGTTGATTACCTCTTTAATGCTCCTCAATTAGCAAACATTTTTTCTTCATAGGCGACAAATTTAATACCGGCTAGAATAGTATCTTTCCCCTCCCGTGCATGTATTTGCATGCTACCAATTATTATGTAAGCTAATTCACAAACAACAATATCTAAACAACTACTTTATCAACTAATCAATCAATGTATTTCTTGCTTCCTTTTATATATATGTATTTCCCATTTGGGGCTTGGGAGGAAGTTTCTTAGGTGGACAAATTTTGGTAACCTTAGCTGTTGCCAATTAGAGGACAACAAGTCCGTACAAAGAAGGATCCTTCCTGTCCTTTTCCTCAGAGATCTCAGATCTTCACGTACTAATCCATCTTCTCATGACCCAAACTTCTTTTCTGTATTTAACTATAAATGGATTGCAAAAGTGTAGATGTAACAAGTGTATCAATCCCATCTCAAACTCCCAAGCAAAACTCCAAAGCTCAACAAAATATCTTCAAAAAATCACTTCCTTTTGCTCCAAGAAAAATGGCCCTTCCCAATTTTGATGCTCTAAAGGACTTGCACGACTCAGCCAACGACATGCTTCACTCACCAGTAATCAAGCGAGAAATAGCACATCAGGGACAAGAGAAATGGGCTCATGAAGTTTCAGAAACATCGTTAAGAATGCTAGACGTTTGTGGCACAACTAAAGATGTCCTTATGCTCGTTAAAGATCATGTCCATGACCTCAAGTCCACTTTCAGAAGAATCACCGTCGGCGAAAATGCAACTGCAGAAAACAAGTTTGCACCTTATCAATGTCATAGGAAGAAGTTGAAGAAAGAGATGTTAAAACGCTTGCATTCCTTAAAAGGGATGAAAAATAACAACTGCATAAACTCATCATCATTATCACTAGAGAACTCCGTGAAAGATAAAGAAAATAATCTTATGGTGGTTGTGAATGTGTTAAGAGAAGTAAGAGTTGCAACAATTTCTATTTTGGAATCTTTGATGTCACTTATGTCAATGCCAAGCCCAAATACTAGGAAAACAAATAAAGGGTATTTTGGTTCCAAGTTGATGAGAGTAAACAGCTTAAGTTCATGGGAAAAATGCGACGCTATGACGCTGCAGTGTGCCAATAAAAGATTGGGAGCAGTGGAAATCGCCATTGAAGATCTTGAAGGAGAGCTGGAATGTATTATCCGGCGGTTGATCAGAACAAGAGTTTCACTTCTGAATATACTCACCTACTAGGAAACGAGAAATATTGAAAGATGACTTGCAAGCAAATAGGAGCTAGCTACCTATTATTTCAAGGGTTTTCCAATGCTCATAGTTTGCAAGTTAGTTAATTGGAGCATTAACAGTAGAATTTGTGAATTCAAATCTTAGTTTGATATTCATATCTCATATGAACACTAATTGCTTTGTAACACTCCCTTTGTCCCAGTTTATATTGTACTTTTCCCTTTTCGAAATCCAAACGATGTGAAATTTGACCAATATTTTAAAATATATTTTTTACCATATTTATATGAGAAGAATTACAACTTATAGTTACGGAATATCTCTCTCTAGAATAAAATTTCCTCTCAGCTTTCGCTGAACCTAGGTAGGAAATGGAAGGCCGGAGGGGGAGAGCAACAAGGACAAGGCAATGTCACAAAATGTGGGGAGAAAACCATCCCGCAATCAACAGATGCAAAGAAAACACGAAGCCTTAATGTACTACAAGGTATTGCGCCATTAGAATTGACACAAGCAAGAATGGATCAAACGCCAATTCAATGCAAATTGATCAGTGGAAGCGAGAATTGTGTATGCCAGAGTAGTGGGAAAAGCTCATGGACAGATATGGTGGAAGAGGAGATATCGAGGATGTAGAAATAAGAAAAACACAAAACGTTACGTATACATGGAGTAAAGTAGTGGGTCCAATACTTACGGCTGAGGGATTTGATCTGAGTAGTGAGGAAATGACTGGGAAAATGTGAAAATTACGGTCGATGATATCAAAGAAGAAGTAGAATATTGGAGCTCGACAATAATTTGCTATATGTTGGGTTCTAACCCTCCTTTGACAGTAATGGATGGGTATTTCCGCAGAATTTGGGGAAATATGGGGATCGATAAAGTGGCACTAGTGAACAAGGGTGTGTTTCTGGTACGGTTTCACACTGAGGAAAGCAAAATTAAAGTAATCGAAGAAGGAGTCTAGATGTTCGATAAAAAGTCTATTGTTATCAAGCCATGGAAATAGGATATAGACAAAAAGGAGACAGTTGAAAAAATTCCTACATGGATTAGGCTAGTGGGACTGGATATCAATTATTAGGGAAAGAGTGCACTAACAAATCAGACGGAGCTACTATGCAGAAGGAAAGGCTTACATTTGCAAGAGTCCTTATTGAGGTGTCACTAAACCACAAGAAGCCAACTTGGATTTTGTTTGCAGATGAAAATGGGAAGATAATAGAGCAAGAGGTCTTTTATGATGGAAGCTGGTATTATGTGCCACATGCAATAACTATGGGCATGAGAAGCAGGAATGTAGGAAATATATGAGAAGGGAGGCCAAGGGACAACCTAGCCAACATAAAGAGCAAACTGCCCAACAAGAATCAAAAAAGAAAGGACATAGGAGATCTATAATCATTATTGGAACCCAAGGGAAGGAAGTGGGGAATATGAAGGAAGTCAGGGCAGAAACACAACAAAAGGATGCCAGATATGTTACAACTGAAATGGGCACTAGGAATGACATGAAGGATGCAGAACCAAGAGAGATGCCATTGAAGCTGGGGAATTCCAATGCAGCTCAAGTGCAAAGAAATATTGGCATGGCAAGTTCATCCAACCCTGAGGATGAACAAACTATTTTAGGACAAAACTATGGGAAGGATGGGGGTTGTACCCCTCCTAACGGATAATATAGGATGTAGAATGGCAGGGGCCTAAACAAGTTAGCAAAGTAGAAGGAGGTGAACCTGTTTCTGCACAATGTGAAAGCTGGTATGTTTGGGATCCTGGAAACGAAGATTAAGAGAGCAAAGGCTCAGCAAAAATCTCTTAATCTATGTAGTGGGTGGTCTTTTAGCACAAATTTGATGAAGCATCCTGGAGGTCTAATATTTAGCTTAAAGTATATATATTTATATGTATATTTTCTTGCGTTTTACTCATATTTTGTGAATTTCGGATGTGAAATATAATAATTTATGCTAATTCATGATGTTTTTATATTTAGGAATCATTGGGAGGCAATATAGGGTGAAAGGTGCAAGATTAGAGCCAAAAATGAGCAAAAGTGGAAAATGGCCATTTGTAGCGCCACAGGTAGCGTGGCGCGCTACCTGTGGCGCAGTTTCCAGAAACAAAAATAGCCAGCGCAAGGGATAGCGCCTCACGCTACCCTGGGCGCTGGTGATGGAAAATCTCTCCTACTTCATCGGGACAAGTTTATTTCGGCCCAAGACCTACCCAACGCGTATAAAAGCAAGACTAAGCCTATTTTGGGAGGGGAGACACCACTTTTGAAGGAAAAATACACACGAGGAACATCCGGGAGCACGAATATCTCAGTTTTCTTCATCTTTTCTTAGTATTCTACATTATTCAACACTTGTAAATTTGTTTGATATTATCATGAGTGGCTAAAACTCATAGTTCTGGGGTTGTGATTTCGCCATGAATATTATTGTTTAAAGTTGACTTAACCTTGATTATAATTCACTAATATATATTTGTTTCTTTAATTATGTGATTAATTGCTTAATTATCTGGCCAACATTTATGTTCTATTTACTATCTATTTTATGCTTAGGAAAGCTACGTTTAGATTAGAGAAAAATTTAAGAGAGTATAATCTTAAATCTGAGTAGGGGCGGATTTGTGGTTAGGATAGGAATATACCTAATCACCGTGCTTAATTAAATATCACATTCTTAATGCATTCGTAATAGATTGATTCCATAGGAATATAGGCGTTAATCTACTTTGAATAGGCAAGTAGGAATTCAGGAGAATACTACGAGAGTAATTGTTCGATTAATTAGCAACCACGAGTGAATTGTATGAAATTGAGAGTTAATTAGAACACAATATGATTGGTGAATTGATCACAACACTGGAATATTTGTCTCTATTGAATACACAACAACTATTTTGCTGCTTGATAATTTAGTTAATTGTTAGAATTATTGCTTAATATAAGCACACTATTGAACTCTTATTGACTTGATTGAATAATAATATTTGTGAAACTAGTGGGTAGTTAATACACATATTTGTGGGTTCGACACTCGATTTGTCACTTTATTACTTTTACGACCACGTATATTTGCGTGTGTATTTGGGAGCAACAAGTTTGTGGCGTCGTTGCCGGGGACTTAAATATTGACTACTTTCTAGTTTTTGCTTTAATTGTTTATTTCGTCAAGTCTAACGTTTCTTATTGGTTGCTCTGCTCACAGGAACTTTGATTGAATGCGAAGGGTCAGAAGTCAGGATAAATTTCAAGGCTTTGACCCCAACCCTGAGAGAACATTTCACAAGAGGTTGAGGGAAGCAAGGGACATAGATAATCTTCAGGCACTTGTTCAATTTCCTGTGGACATGGCAGAGGAACAACATATGGCTGTTCAGGAGGTGGTGCTGCCCAGCATTGCTAGTGTCACCTCCAGCATCGTGAAGCCCAAAATCACTAGGCACTTTGAGCTAAGCAAAGCATGATCCAGCTATTACATGCGAATAGGCAGTTTGCGGGTCTGCCACATGAGATATATGCATTATTGAAGAAATTTTATAAAAGCAATCCTGATTGGAAAGGAGAGATGAACAGACACAAAGTGCAAAAATCTGCAAGGGTCTCGAGTTAGATGTCGTCTCTGCATTATCAGAGCAGGTTGCCATATTGGCTAACTATGTCAATAAGATGACATTGGTTATTAACAAGCAACAAGATCAGCCAGTGCAACATGTTCAATTATTTTGTGAGGTATGTGGAGAGGGTCACACGAGCGACTTATGCCCAGCTAATCCAGAATCTGTCTGTTTTGTGGGTAATGCAAATAGGGACCAAACAAATTAGTATGGGAACACTTGCAATCCTAATTGGAGGAACCACCCAAACATCTCTTGGGGTGGAAACCAAGGTACTCAGAATTAGTATAGGATACAAGCTCCTCAACATCAATATAGACCACCTCAGGCTAAATAACCTACAAACCTGACGAGTCACATTGAGGAAATTCTAAAGAAATTGATGGTTGATCAGCATGCTCAGGCAGCAACCCACGCTGCAGCGATTCAAAATTTGGAGAGACAAGTGGGGCAACTTGCCAGTGCTCAAAATACTCGACCAGTTGGAGCTCTTTCAGGCGACAATGAGGCTAATACTAAGGCATCTATTAATGATGTGTCATTGAGGAATGGAAGAAATCTAGAAGAAGTCCCATAAAAAGAGAAAGCAAGTGACCTTTCATGAGACACCGGCCACCATAGAAGCAGAATCAAAAAAAGCAAAGGAGTTAGAGAAGCTGAAGAGGCGGTGGCTAAGCAACCCCCATCATTAGTTTGAAGGACACCACCTCCGTTCCATCAGAGATTGCAGAAAGTGAAGGCTAATGCCGCTTATAAAAAGTTTCTTAGTATTTTGAAGCAGGTGCAAATCAATATTCCACTGTTAGTCATCCTGCAAGAAGTGCCCAAATATGCCAAATACATCAAGGGCAGTGGCAAATCAGAGGTGGTTGACAGAGTTCGAGACTGTGACACTCACTGAAGAATGTAGCTCAAGAATTCAAAACAAGCTACCTCAGAAATTGAAGGATCCATGTAGATTCACTATCCAAACCTCGATTGGTAAGCACGCAGTCAGGGCGAAGCATCAATTTGATGTCTCTATCTGTGTTAAGATAGTTGTGGTTGAGTGAGCTGTGCCCAACCACGGTGATTTAACAGTTGGTTGATCGCTCCCTTGCTCATCCTGAAAGAGTAATTGAAGATGTGTTAGTTCAAGTGGGTTCTTTCATATTCCATGCTGATTTCATTATCTTAGAATATGAGCCTGATTAGGAAGTCCCATTTATTTTGGAGTGTCCACTCTATTATTGATGCTATTATTGATGTATGCAAAGGAAATATGATGATGAGAGTGGGTGATCGAGTGGAGGTATTCAATATGTATAAAGCACTCAGATTTCCAGTCCACTATGAAGAGCTATCCATGATTTATGTTTGGAAGATGATGTGACTTCATTGGTGCCTTATATGAGCCCCATAGATCCTCTTGAATGAGCATTGATTGTGGATGAAGAAGACAGTAAAGATGAAATGATGGAAGAAATTGAGCAAGTACTTAACATATCTTGCAGTTATATCCATGGGTTTGAGAGATTTGAGAAGTTGGATATGCCTGTTACTTTGGCCCCTCCTAAGCCATCTATTGAAGAAGCTCCAAAGCTAGAGCTTAAGCCCCTTCCATCGTATCTGCG